TTATACTTCACAATAAATTTCCTTATTGACCCCTAACAACGCACAACAGTCCATTCCCAGATTGTACGTGGTTTTCGCATATTAAAACAGCGGTTATTTCAAAGGATGAAACCTATTGAGGAGGGACATTAAAATGTATAAAAATGTAGGTAAGAATAACGATGTTTCGTGGTGAACGGCCAGTTTTGACCATAGAATACGAGTATGTAGAATATATTTATAATTCTATCAAGTACCAACAATGATAATTCGACATGCTGCGTACCTATATTCATAACCGCCGAACTATTACAATTCATTAAACTCGATGGCAGTTGCAATCAGTTACTGGTGGTAATTTTATAAATTATAACTAATATCATGAAATGCAATGTTAAATTTATTTTATACCATTAATAATCATCTTTTTTGTATCGCAGATGCTCAGGTGCGTATATAAATCATATAAGGTGATCACATTTATGATGTGTTTAAACTCGCTATTTCGAAAATGTACAATTTTATGAAAACACAATTTTTTACAATTATAAAACAACATTTATCAGAAAATGTTATCATTTTTATTTTTCGGGTTAAAATTTTTTTTAAATAAGCTGTAATAAAAAAATATTTTAAAAATAAAATGTTTTTTCTTAATGTTGTTTTGCAATGATTATGTTAAAAGTTTCCGATAAAATGAGTATAGACACTTAAATTGATTACCTTATATTATATACTAGCATTGATTAAAGAACATATTTTAAAATCAATGATAATAATAATAATTTGAATAGTTTGATAAATAATAATAATTTACATAAAAAAATTTATAAATTTTTATTATTTTTAAAATGAAGCATCATATTAAGACAACATAATATTATGTCTTATAACAAAATATATCAATATCTTTGTTAATTTACACTGCACAGTTTACCTACATATTAAATCTATATCCTATATTAAAATTTAAAGGTATGAGTAATTAATTAATTATTGTCATCAATATTTTATATATTAACTACTTACTCTTTACATCAAGCAATAGGTATTAAAACATTTAAAACTATCAATATTTTCTTATGGTATAATTTATTGATTATAGTACCAATATCTGAGCATTATGAGTAGATAATTAAAATGAGTTAGTAAACATAACTTACAGCGTACAGCGATTGAAAAGACATCTAGAAAATTAATTGATACACATTTTAAACAACAGGCAATTGTCAGTTTTGAATTTAAATTTCACAAAAGTCTTTACTCTTTATTAAACATTTCTAAAAATGATTTTTTACAATATTTATGGAATAATAATCATCTTTCATTTATAACTATCACACTTAATTGATTAATATGTCAGTAATAGTTTAAATAATATATAATACTTTAAAATATTCTTTATACCTATATAATTTATTAATTTATATAAATCTATATAAAGATTACATATCTACCAATAAAGACAAAATTGGTATGATGTGTTTATACATAAGTACTTATCTAATTATAAAACTAACTATTCGTTTCTATATTTTTATAATTGTTTTTAATAATAAATATAAATATTTATAAGTGCCATTATAAAATTATCAAGCGATATGTTCGATGACCTATTATTGACCTATTACCTACAGATTAAAAAAATGAAAATATTGTTATAAGTACTTAAAAATATTAAATATAGGTATTTATAAATTACTATATTTTACATATACCTACCTATTTTAATTTAGATTAAAATTTTGCAATTCAACCTATCTTAGATTTTCATTGCCAAAAATTTAAATTAGAAAATGAAACGAAACATGTCTATTGTATACTCAATCTTCATTATTTAGTTATTCAAATGAAAAAAATAAATAGTATTAGCATTGATTTTATTATAAATCAATGGTATCAGTAAATAAAGGTGTTCGTATTCCGTGTACTTTACGTATAGTAGTGTATTTAATAATAATTATAATGAAATAAGTGATTAGTGAAGTAAGATAGAAAGAACAACTATATTTATTAAAAAATCAAAATATCAACGATATTTTAATATTAGAATAACTGAATATGACTTTAAGTAAAAATTATTAAAGAATCCATGACTATTATTCTCTTTAAATTATTAGTTATAGTATATGAAGAAAAAAAATGGAGAGAGCATTATATAAAATAGGTGAACGTTTTATTTACTAATGAATCCATTTGAAAGGGTTCTAATCAAAAAGTTAGCATGTTTATAAATAAATGTACCTATTATTAAATTAAAATATACTAATGAATGTTTTAAAACAAACTAAAAAAATATTTTTTTATGAGTTAAAATATTAACTTTATGAGTTATGACTTATAACTTATGTGACTATCTAATAAAAACAGCTATAGATTTATTTGATCTTTGTGAATAATAGGTATGTCGATAACTATATTCAAATAATCGATTGTACCTATTCATGAAAAATATGTTGACAATTTCACGTTTTATTTTCAAAATTAAAAAATATACTAGAGAAGTTTTACGAATCAATTAAAGCACCATTGTTGGACCTCAATCCTACTGTAATGAATAATATTCCTGCATCAAATTTACCAGAGTTCAGGATATTAATTTAAAAGATTTTTTTTTTTTTTTTACCATTTGTAGATTATTTCAAAATTTTATTTAAATATCATATTTCTAGTTTGCATAACGAATTCCAAGTTTTTTAACAATAAAAAAATATCCTAATTCAAAATTTTTTAAAATGTGTAGATTTTTATATTTAAATTTTCCCAAATAAGAAAACATTTGAATCAGAATTTAAAGTGTGAATACAAAAATGGAAATCATTACCCAATAAAGAATTCTCAATATCTAAAACTGATATAATACAATACCTATCATGTAATCTATGGTATTCTTACAAAAATCCCAATATCAACCGTGTTTGCTAAACTTTATTTTTTTATTTTAAAAACATTGAAATTATCTGACAAGTTGAACATATTTGTTACTTGATATTTATATCTTAAGTATTCCAATAAACATAAAAAAAATTATATAAATGCGTTTTCTTGATTACTTTTCACGCAACGTTTGATTTAATAATATTGATAATATTATGTTTGTTATATTTTTACAAGTTTGAAGTAAATTTATCTTTCATTTCATATTATAATATGTACTTAACAAATAATAATTAGTATGTAATGAACATTATAATTGAAGGGTCCGGTGCAATAACAAGGTATCTCCACTTTTTTTCGAAATGCATGTTTTAACATATTCTAATAGTGGAAAAATTTGTCTACATTTCGGTGCAATAACGATATATCTCCGACTATTAAATACGCTAATATCATACAAAAGGAGATATCTGGTTTTAAATGTTCTGGGCAAGAACCAGGTATCTCCGGAGATACCTTGTTTATGCTCAGAAAGATGGCAACACTTTTATTACTTTTAATTTATTAATTAAGTATTAATTTTTATGTTTTTATGTACGCAAATATTTGGTGTCAACTAATACCACATTATAAGATTTTAATATTATGTTTCAACTGTTAAAAGGATTATTATTATGTTTATGTTTTATTTGTTTTTATACATGCTCAAGGTGTTATGTTATTTTCAATTTGTTTCTTTTTGATTTATTATATTATGTTGTGAGTAACAACAAACACATTTTTATCATTTTAAGATATATTTTCTATTTATTTATTATGTGCTCATTAATAGGTACTAATATGCTCATGATTATATTCTAAAATGAAATATCCTACCAAAGTAGTTTTTTTAAGTATTTTTTTAGTCGTAAAGGATATCAAAGCTACATTAATGAATGCATAGACCAAAGTTTTACTTATATTTTGGGTCAAAAAACCAGGTATCTCCTTAAAACACATAGTTACTCAATTTAATCATTATAAAAGGTTGTGATAGGTTGGATGATTTTGATTATAGGTATAAATTACACATTATAAATGTTTTTTGAGATTATTCAATACATATGATGAAAGAATTTCTGAGATAAAAAAAAAAACAAAAAACATGGATTTTAATTTTGGGGTAAGAACCCATATATCTCCACTAAATTAAACTTGAATTAATTAATTAAAATTATTCAAATTTATTTAAAAGTAATAAGGCTTTATGGAATGTTATATATACATCCAAAGCATAAAAATCAGTTTTGGAAACAGTAACATGATGAAAGGTGGGTCAGTAAAAACATTTTTTATGTCTCCTGAACAATTTCAAAAAGTGGAGATACCTTGTTATTGCACCGGACCCTTCAATTATACTATACGTCTATACTTATATATTTTTATTTAAATGGATTCTCAAACAATTATAACACTAGCATTACATTATTTTCTTTCATTCACAAACTACAATTGTTTGAACCCTCGGACTACTTTAAAAATAATTCTTAATACGTACCTGGTAATACACTAATACCGTTTAGACATCAATATATAATAAATATTTTATAGTACACAAAGAAAATAGTAAATTTACAATTTCATAGAAACAATAGATATTTTTATATCAAATTGATATATTACATCGTAACAGATTTTCTTTAAAAAAAACCAAATTTACGTTTATATTTTTTACATTTTAAGTACCTAGGTACCTATATGGCTATATATTTTGTGTACGTTAGAATGCAACGTATATATCAATTTATCAAAATTTTTAATGTGTTTATACAGATGATACGGAAAAACAATTTACGTAAATATACAATTTCGTTTTTTATGAAAGTACCTAAATATATCCATATTTGTACACATAATACACTTACATTAACTTTCGGATTTTTCAATTATAATAAATAAATATTGTAATTTTCTAATAATTCAATTAAGACGTATTATTGCCGAGGTTTTAAGTAATCATGATTTTTAATATTTTTATAGCTAAAAAACAATAGGAATAGCATAGTTTTTGGATATTGTTACTAACTTCATGTATTAAAGTACCGGATCAATGTGATATGCAGACGATAGCCAACGGTTGTGATAACGCTTACCAGTTATCACATTATCATGCTTTCTTCGTGACTCCTCATGCTGAACAAAAAAATCTCAAATATTTAAATTTAAAAACACATTATTTTCATTTTCTTCAGTTCAATTTACTAATTACCGTTTAAAACTTGTTCATTCTTAAACGGTAGTATAATGTCAGCGGAACCAGTGGTAAATGGTGTCGGCGGCACCGATGAACAAACCGACAATGTAGATGATGTGAATGCTAAGAAAACTGTAAAATATGACAGTGGAGCAGCCGATCTAGAAAAAGTGACCGACTATGCCGAAGAAAAAGAAGTCATATCAACCGATGATATATCTGGAGTAATTATTACACTATTAATGCAACTCATCTGAGAGATATCATTATATATTTTTGTTGAATAGGCAATGACTATCATTGGTGACAGAAGGTTAAAAGAAGCAGCAGACAAAATAGCAAAAGAAAAAGAACTGCAAAAAGTCTCCATAAAAAAGTCTGATGTTGAATTGATTGTAAGTTTACATGTTCAAATGGTATTATGTTTACTAAATGGGAGTACCTATTACTTTTAGTAATTTGGACACAATATTGGTCACAGCAAAATAATTTTCTGTTTTGTTTACATATTTTCTTATGCTTCTAGGTAGTATTTTTTTGTATTTATGGATTATTATTTATATACCATGATCCATATCTTCTCAAATTAGGTAGATATTTATAAACTTTTAGTAAATGTAATTTTTTTTTTTCAATATAAAGTTTCTTATTTAAGTAGATTCCCATATTTCATATTTATATTATCATAACTTTAGCATATGAAAACCTTCAAATTCACCTAGACCTTATGGAGAATTGTTACAACAAATGGAGATTTAAATTAAATCATAACAAATATTAGAGAAAAATTACTATCACTGAACAACCGTTTACATATCCTTAAACCTCTGATCTCTAATAAACACATCTCCCTTAATATTAAACTTCTCATCTACTGAAAACATTACTGAAACTAATCTGGATGTTTGGCATATAGCTATAGGGAAGTGCAAAAAAGACTAATTTAAATAAAATTCAATCCTTCCAAAACATTGCGCTAAGAAAATTAATAAATGCTCCCCATACAGACCTCAAATTAAAAATAATACATGAAGACGCCAAATACTATTTTAGTATTGAGTATAAAAGATTCCACAACTGTCTTTCCTGCCACTCAAATCCTCTAATTAAAAACCTTTCCTCCCTCACAATCCCTAGCAGCCCTCCTAGACGTTTAAAATGTAAATGGTGCAGAGACCTTTTACAAATCTAAATCTAAAAAAAAAAGATCTAAAAACCTAAATTCTAATTCTACAACTTTTAAAAGTCAACATTAAAATGTCATCATTGGGTGGCTTTTTTACTTATTTTTTTTTTTTTTTTGTATATACTCATGCTATTGTCTCTTATCATATATACTTATTATTTCATCTGATATAGATTATATATTTCGACTTAAAAATAAAAATAATAATGAATATTATCATAACTATTCTAAGTTGAACATGGTTATTTTCATATATTTTCTACATGATGCTATTATATTTTATAATATTACTTAAAAATACTCATTTATCATTCATTAAACTATTCAAATTTTTGGAATTAAATTACTTTTGTATTTACCAGTTAAAACAATCAAGAAAATTTTATTAATATATTTTGCACAAAGTTTCCTAACCTAACCACCCTTTTATTTTCAAAATGATATCTTAATATTTTTATTATTATAACTTTTTCATCAACAATATACATTTTTAATTTCATATTCTGAAACAGAATATATTTTAGATAATTTAATACATAAAAATTAAAACTCTGATGAGTAGTTTTTGAATTAAAAGTATTCAAGTTTAGGTAAGCGGAATGGAATACTTTGCAGATATCCTTTAAAATGTTTATCATTTACTCTGTTCACCTGAACTTCAAATATTTATAATTTAAAACTACTCGTACGAATTTCAATTTGAATGTATCAGGGTACTCCAAAAAAATGTTTCTTCTGATTATAAAATTAAAAATGTATGAAGTTCATAAAACTTAAAAAATTAAAAAATATAATGAAACTTATATATTTTAAAGTTTTTTGAAATAATGTTATTGTATTTCAACTTTAAAATGTAAAAAAAAAATAAAACAGTTATTAGATTTTAAAACAATGATTGTTGTTTGATAAAACAATGACCTTGTATATTATTCATCCTTAATATTATACAATGTTTTATATTTGAAGATTTGTTTGTAAGTCATTTAGTAATTCTTTTCAATAACTATAAGTTTCATTACTCGTAAATATTTGTTTTTATTTCATAATCAATGGTGTCGAGTTGTATACATTTAAGTGAAGCAAAATCAAAATATTTTTGCACCTACTCACCCACCACTGAGGATTTTAACTTATATTATTTTAATTTTTAACATATATATGAAGCGATTGCTTTAATTCATATATAAGTTTGACACCACTGTTTATAATAATTATTATTTATTTTAAATAATGATCAATGATTTTTTTATTATGTTTATTAAATATGCTGTGGTTGTGTATAATAAATTATGACTTAAAATTAATAATACATTTCATTTTATAATATTAATATTGATTAAACCAAAAATAACCATTAATAAAATATAAAACCCTATCATACTTATTTATATTAATAATTATTAAGTTGAAATAATAAAAAATAATATTATGAAAGGAATTAATGAATTTAAATTACTCCTTTGATATAAATTGTAGTTAATTTACTAAGAGAAAATTAAACAAAATTTACACAATTTTTAATAACTATTTAATAAATATTATTTAACATTTAGCCCATCATTCTCCATGCATGATTGAAATTGACGCATTATTTCTCTTTGAGTAGCTGCTAATATTTGTTCCTTTTGAAGTTTTGCATTTTTATTTTTGAGGTCTTCAATATTAATAAATGAAGTTGAATACACTTATTAAAAATTATTTTACTAAAATAAATATTAGAAATTATTAAAATTATAAAAATTGTGTTAATTTAATTAACTTTTTCTTAGTAAATTAACTAAAATTTACATCAAAGTCGTAATTTAAATTAATTAATTCCTCAAAATTAAATGTAAATGATTTAATTATGCCTGCAACCCTACAAATATGAAAAAAAATACTTGAAGTTGCATGATAATTCATAAAATTCTAGAGTGATTGTAGAAAAATTCAATAATTTTAATCGAAACTTTAGCTTGTTGTCATTTAATCAATATTGGTTTTAGAGCTATGATAAAAAAGAACCAAAATGACTTAAAAAATATCAGTCTATCTAAATCTATTATTGAAAGTAAATATTGCTATTTAAAAGAAATGCAAGTTGTGCTGTGCTTGCTCACAATAAAAAAGTTAAACATTTAAAAATTGTAAAAAAATATGAATTTCAATCATCCCTAACTATTTAAAAACATCCTATCTCAAACCAATGTCATTAGATAGATTTATTTAGTGTTACCTTTGTAATATAATAAAGTAAATAAAACAATTATTGTTATTATTTTTATTTTGATCATTAAAACTTAATTAGAAATGTACCTGTTAACAAGCTTAATAATATTAAAACTTGAAAGTAATGTATTTGTACCGTTAAAAAATTACACACAGTAAAATTTTTAAATTAACTTATACCTAACTTGTTTTAAAATTTAAATGTTAGTATAAAAAGAACCCATGTGAGATATTACAATTTCTTATCTTTAAATTTGAAAGTAACAATTTATTGTAATATTTATAATAATTAATAACAGAATAAAATAAATTTTACTGAACACAAAATGTATGAGTAAAATGAAGTAAAATGAAGTTCACTTAATTTTTAATGAAAAACATTTAAATTGATGAAAACAATTAATTAATTTTTATTTGTTAAAAAAACTTATAAAATTACTATATTAGTATACCTAATATTAAAATAAATTATTTGATTTTAATGATTATTGCTATTATAAATATTTTAAAATAATAAAAACAATGAAATATAGTATAGAGATATAAATTAAAAAATGTAATGTTCTAACATCTCTCAAATTCTAATATCAAACATTTTAATATTTCTTTAAGTAATTAACAGTTGTTATCGAAAAATATGTCTATAAAAACAATTTTTTTTTTTATAAATGTTTTATTTTATTATTATTTAATTATGATATTTTTTACAAAAATAAACTATTAATAAAAATAAAAATGTTATTAAATTGTGTTCAAATATTTTAAGCATGTTTAAAACAATATAAAATATTACTATTTTAGTAATTAAACTCCATTTTGTTGCCATGCTAATAATCAAATTGTTACTTGTTAAATCTTTACATAAATTGTATTTTTAATGGTGTAGATATAATCAATTATACATTTAATTATTATTTTACTTTGTCTATATTAAACTTTCAAATTTTATGTTATTAATAATTATATGGATTTAAAGCATTAATACTGAAATAAATTTTTATTTTTTGTTGAATAACATAACCTACGTCATATTAAAAAATATTTATTAAAGTTTAATTTAGATAATTAAAATTAATTATAGATTAAAAAAAATATGTTAGTACTTTAGTACTTGCTACAATATTAATAAGAGTATATTAAGTAGCAGCTGAACACCTAAAGCATGATATAATTCGTGATCAAAATGTTTAAATATTATTTGTTTTGATCACATAATATCCATTGCTGATAAAATTAAGGCATTTTATAAATTAGTATTTTATATTAATATGTTCATTATTCTTATAAAATTTTAAGTTAATTATATGTATTCTTTTTTAAGTAGATAATTTAATTTTATATTAAATAATATTATTTTTTATCTGTACAAGTATGTAATCAATCAATTAGTTAAAAATCCGAAAATTAATAGTAATTAATATGTTAGAATCTAATATTATTTTTCCTTTATTTCATACTACTCGTAATAACATTATAGATATTTTAACCTCTTGTGATTAGTAATTTAATATATCATATATTATTCTTCATTAATAATAATTTATCAAACAGATTAGGCTTTTTATAAAATGTCACAATTAAGATATGGATGGTAAATACCGCTGATGGCTTTACGAATAATCAACAGTATTTGATATTTATACATTACTAGAGCTATCCCCACGCACTTCGTTGCCCGTACAAAATGCATCTGTGTTAAATTTCGTTGCTTAATGCTAACATTTGCATAATGCGTGTGGATGATTAATATTTTTAGTTTTCTAATTTGATTTAGTGTATAGATGATATTTCCGACATATCAACTTTACATAGCTACCCTCCTCTTCAGCGTTGCTTTTATGACTACTTAACTGTAGTATTTTTTTTTAAATAGTTTTTTTTCTTTTTTTCTTGAACGACCCAAATTTGATTTCTTTTTTTTCTAAACCAAAAACCAACAACTCATAAAGTTTCAGTAGTATGAACCAAAAACAATGAAAAGTTCTGTACCTACTATTATACTACATTAACTATTCATTAAAATACTAATTTCTAATAATAACTAATAATTAGTAACGCGGACGAAAAAAATATTTTTATGTACGTATTTTCCAATTGTTTAAAAATTGAATATCTCAATTTTTAATCAACTTATAGAATCATAAAAAAACTGAAACCTAATCCATGATTTACTCTTTCATTTAAAAAAAAATCAAGATAATCGAATGAGTAATTTTAGAGAACATCCATGACAAAAATGTCCATTACATAGATTTATAAATTGTGCTCCAGATTATAAAACCAAAAATGTATACCGTTGTTTAAAATAAACCATTAATACTCTGTTAACCAACAAACATCAATGACAAAAAAAAATTAAGACAGCATGAAATATTTTAATTGCCTGTATCTCGTTGTAACGAGAAAATTTCAAAAAAATAATCTAAATTCTTACATCTTTCAAAATAATTTATGTTTATTGTTAAAAAAATCGCACTGGTTATTATTTATTAGTATTATTACCTATGTTATAAAATTGACTTCTTCACCTTTATCTCATCAGTTGTATAAGAAGTTATTACTTATTGTTTTGTTACTTTTTACATAATGTAACCTTTTGTTTTGTTGATTCTTATGTTGATGTTAAATAGATATATGATTTTTTTAAATTAAAAAACGATAAAAATATAGTGTGTGAATATAATATACTTTACTACTCTCCTAAACAAACCTTGGCTTTATATTCAAAATGTTCAGTCATTATTTTATTGCGATTAAATTATATTTATGTATCTCTATAATTTAATATTTATCTGTACAAATGTTTACCAATTGATGAATTTTCATATCGATTATTGTAAATTATTAAAATAAGTCATATTATAACAATCGCATAAAATAGTTTATACCTAAACAAGATTTTTTCTCATTTTTTCGTCTACAAATCTAAATAGAATTATCTTTTTTTCAACGTTTCGACATTGCGATGAACTAACACATCGGCATAGAGGATTCGCCTGCAATTTTGAGATTTCATACTTATAACTTAAAATAATCACTGTTTTACACAAAAATCCACTTAAATCATTAATAATTATTGTTTAAAGCTATTGTGGTCGTGTAGACAATTTAAAACTAGGTATGGCTTATAATTAAGTATAATTTATTGGGCATATTTAAGAAGCATTATTAACTATTATCGTAAATCGTTATTGAAAAATGAATAATATTAACATTTTATTATCATAGTATTAATGTATTATAGTTCATACATGAAGTCATTGTTCAATGATCTCGCGGTGCACGGCGCATGCGTTTCGCATCAAATCGTATTATTTACTTTGTTACTCTCCGTTATTCATAGCCATTAGCCACATTGACGTCGACATCTCGACGCTATCGGATAAGATTACTAACGAGTTAGCTATTAATTATTCTGAATTGCACACAATAACAACAACAATAAAATTAACAATATTTTTATATAATTTATTATTGGTATATATTTCACCATAATACTAGAGGTGCTTATCAGTGATACAATTATTATTTGTTTACAGATACAAGAAATGGAAATATCGAAAACGCTAGCCGAAAGAACGTTAAGGGAATGCCACGGAGACGTCGTAAAGGCCCTGATTGCCCTGACCAATTGAAAATATAAATCAACATTTGGAATTTTCCGAGTAAAAAGAAAAAAATTACGAAAAAAAATTCTACATGTTATAATTATATACGAAACACGTTGTAAATAATATCGACTAATGTTCAAACAACACGAGTAAATAAACAAATAAATAATTTAAAAAAAAAAAAAAAAAAACTGTATAACATTAAATAACAATTACATACAGAAACTCACGTTATAACATTTTATTTTTTATGTACTATTACGACGTAAGCAATGTGGTTTCAGCATAACCTTTATACTGTAACTGTTTTTAGTTTCACAGAATGTATTCGGACGCGATTTCGATGTGCATTTAGTATTTACACGATTAAATACAAACAGCACACGTATTATAATATTATTTTAATAATAAATGAATTATCAATGGGCGGCCGTACAATACTGCAATAAATACATATATACACGGTATACCAGTACACTTACGAAGACTTATCGAACGGGCGAAAATCATTTTGTAACAGTTCGTTTTAATTGTTTGTTCTATATTATATACTAATGCTTATGCATATTATATGTATAACGTATAAAACATTAAATTATATATATATTATATACATATGTATAATCATCATTCGGAGCTCTTATGATTTTATTATCTCGGTTGTAGACCAATTACGTATAATATCATGTTTTCTTTCTTTCGCATCAGTCGTCTCCGAATATATATATATATATATATTATAATAATATTATAGAGAGCAGTGCTATGCACACGTTTGCACCGCGCATACTTCTTTTGTATTTAATAAATAATAATAATATTATCGTGATATAATAATATAATATTATACTCATCGCTCACGCCACTCGACGACGAGAGAGTTCCGTCGTAGATACGAGCTCACAACATTGTATTGTCAGTATTTACCTACTGTCCGGACCGCACATCATGAGCAACAAGTCGCGCTTTGGCCGCCCGACGTAGACGCGCACGCTTGTCCGAGTGTCAGACCGTTTGACACAGTGTAATGTGATTTATTTATTTATTGACACGCGCCTGTGCCGTTATTATTTTATTATTTAGATTATTTTTTTTTTCATCGTTATTTTTGACATGCCGTTGACACCGCAAACAATTATGATATACGCGATCGTCCCGACGTTAGCGATATTTGTGTGTTCGGCATTTTCCGCCACCGCCGCGGCGCCGCAACAGAGGACGTCACCCGACGACGAAACCGGTAAGTCGATGTTTATTTTGCGCGTCGTTCTGTATGATTGTCATCGGATTCTCCGATTTTCCCGTGCTCGCTCGTCAGTCGTCGAGAAGTTTTTTTTTTTTCCAGTCGGAAAACCGCGAGACGCTTACATTATATTTGTACAGATAAAATACGCAGCGTATAGCCGCGAACTTCATCGGCCTTTCTAACGGGTTGATCAAGTTCAGCGCATGGCCTCGACGAAGTTCGCCAAATGTCACCGAACTGATAATAGGTACCTGTTATCCTGTTACGCAGCTCGCGAGAGTGTCATAAATTATAATTAATCTACAATGTGCGTACAAAACAAACGGGCTTACGGAGCAGAGTACCTACTTATATTACCTATATAATTTATAGGCTATATATCTGGATTTGAAGATTTCAAACCTTGAACTGCTTCGTATGCGTATGATGGGCAATATAACGCACGTGTACACGCGGTGCATGTACATAGGTGCCACTGCGATTTTTTTCGATTGTCCGCGTCAATACGATTTATGATGTTAAATATTGGTGTACACGGGTACTGAAGTTCACTAACCCGTGTACTACGGGTTGATAACTTTTTGTTTGTGTATTATGCAACTGTAAGCAGTCGTAGCTGGTATTAAGACATTAATCCGATACGATAACGTTTAAAAAAGACGCGCAGTGTATTCATATTTACAATATATACATACGCACCTATTAGATTATACCTACATAGTATTTAGGTAACTCGATTAGTTACCGGGCTCGTAGTTTTTCACAATTTTTCAGGGAATATTTTTTTCCACAAAAGAATTTTCAATGACATTCACATGTAAAAAAAATATTGAAACTATAAGTAGGTGCATATAGATGTGTATGCGTGTGTACCTACTTAAGACTATTTTGTCCAAAAGGTTTAATGTATCATAATATGAAGTTTGTAAAGCTTAAAACATTTAGATGTCTACTGCAGGCTAGATTAATTTCATAATCAGTACTTATAAACATTTTCTGAGGTGATTTTTAGTATACAATCTTTGGTACAGTACTTGGTGGAGAGAAGGGTGGTTTGTTGAACATTTGCTGACTAAAATGTATAATTTTAATTTTGAATCAAGTTTATAGCTTATTATCTTACAATCAAGGATTACAAACTTCGTTGCCTTCTATTTATTTATCCTTGTGGATTAGTGTCTTGCAACCGTCGGTACAACTAGAAACCTTAGAAGGAGAAATAAAATTATTCACTCATTTGAAACTTTTCTCAGAACTTAGCCTTTGTTGGATACTTGAATTTTACCAAAATTATTTTCAATTTAATATATCCTTTGCAATATAATATTGTCTATTTGTATAGTTTATACACCTATATTTAGATTTATTCAAATCATAGTGTAGTATGAAGAGTATAATATGATTTAATAGGCAACTGTAACCATACGTATAATACCTAACTAATACTATGTAAGACGTACCCACCTAATACTTAATTCTACTAGTTAATATCCTTACTAATACTTAGAAGCAAAACAGTCGAACTGGCCAGTTGGCAATATTGTTAGTATTGGTGGCTCTAACAATAAATATACTAAACGATCAAACAGTAGATTTAGTTAATAGTCGAAGCTTGAAGATTATACAATATATACAGTTCATTCACCAAACATGCTCAGTGCTTCCCCACTCCATTTTTTTCCTTCAACAATAAAGGAATTTTAAATATTTAAATTTTGATTTTTAATTATACTTGAAGATCATGTTTTAAAATAATGTTATTTTACGCAATTTAAGGAGTGTTCTGATATTTTTTTTAAACCAGAACTACCAATTTACACATTTTTAAAACTGACTTTTTTAAAATATTTATGTATATAAATCAAAACTAAACTATTAACTATTATACTTTATGTACCTGCTGAGTATAATCCATAATAATAGGTTAAGAATATGTGTAGGAGCAGCTATGATGATTCAAAAATAATTGTAATCATTAATAATTAATTAAACAGGTATACAATTGCATAATTTGTAAAATACATCCTATGGTAATTAATTAGAATTATATATGTTAAGTACATCTATTTAAAATCAGTATAATAACTCAAAAAATATTCAAAATTTGATTTATTTATTATTGTCTTCTGCATTAAATATATATATATAATTAATAATAAAAATTTAAATATAAAAATAAATGATTTATAAGATATTTAAACTAAAAAAGATAGTTTTCATTGGAAAAATAAGTTTCTATTACCACAGAATTACATCCTTCGATGATCTAATAAATTCAAGTATCTATTTGAAAATATGATCTTTTTAAATACAGGTAAATACTAAAAATTCTAAAAATTCAAATTTTTATAAATGTATTATCATAAAATATAAAATGATAATTGAGAATAAGCATTGACTAATAAACTCCTTTTATAAGTATTATGAATTTTGAGTTTTATTCCTTAATAAGGGCATCCAGGAATTGGGCTGCGATTTCAAAAAAGCGCAGGTCCATCAATAGCCAGGATATTAATTTTAATTCAAAATAGTTATTCTATTTTTGAAAAATTCAAAAATACGAAGAAAGGGAAAAAACAAATTTGACTTTGTGAAATCTCAAACGATTTATTTAATAAATAAATAATTGTTGTTCGATTAATTTTATATAGGTACCTACTTATAGTATAATTATTTTTTAATTAACTAAAAAAATATTAAAATTTTATAGATACCTACCTACTAAAATTAATAAAAATTGCATATTTTTGTGTTATACGTTTGTGGCCTAATACCCAGGTAATAAAATGTAAGAAAATATCGTGTACAAATAGATAGATAAAATGTAGCCAAATTACTGACCGCTCCTCAATAGCATTTTTAAATCTCATTAGCATGTGTTATCACTTATCACGTTCTTACAAACGTACAACACAATAAAATGTGCGTTTAGTTTGTTTTTGTTATTAAATGTACAGTAAATGATACAACTGAGACGGAAAGTAATACTTTTAGATTAGGTTGTACCTCAGTTGTGATACCACATGAGCAAAAACAGTTTAATGTTAGACTGAATTGATCTATTACTAAAAATGAGTAAAATAATATTTTTTATTTGTTTATTTACGTTTTTTTTACGATACCTACTTTAATTTTTAAGCAAGTATTTACGGAGATATAATAATATACCATCCCCTTCCCCGATCAACTCACTATTATCTATTTATTTGTAAGTCCATCTACTATAGTGCTATGAACAAATACGCATGTAACCATAGGTAGGTATGTGTATTAGTACGTATTCGGGAGTTATGACCCTCCCAATGACAAATACGAATAGTTGTGCTCATAATATACTAGTAAATAGTAATATTATAATTATTCGTATCGTATTAAAATATCATTCTCTTTTACAGCATCGGAGGACGTATCACAGGGCTCGTCGAATTTTGAGCGTTTAGTATTTTCGGAAATACCGCCTGTGTACCATTGCAACAACAGCTTGCAATGCCCGACTGAATTCGGTTTCACCAGGTGCGAAAATCACCTATGTGTGTGTGACGAGAATTTCTATCAGGTATTAAACAAGACTTCCGAGACCACCTACTGCCGCCTATGCTCACGTAAGTCATATTACATTTTGTACATTTTGTGTAGGAAACCTATAATGGATGCCCACATCGATTTATTTACCTACTAATATAAATTATGCACCAATTGTGTTTAGAAACTTAAAACAAGAATTAAAAAAAAAATACGTTAAGATAAACAATTATAATAAGCGCGTATTAACTAAAAAATACTGATTTTCATATACTTATAACTAAGTTCGCAGTCTGAAAAATCAAAGTCATCCTTAAGTGATGTAAGAATTAACAGAGAAAATGTATCTTGGGTTATCGAAAAAAAAATATAATCCGGCATGGTCTTAAGCCGTAAAATCATAGGCGCAAATAGTGTTGAAGTTTGAAAGGGGGGCTGAAATCAAAATCCATCCCAAACATCTTAAAATATTTTTGATTACAATATTGACTGACAGACGATAGTCATTAATATTTGGAGGCTATACAGAATTTAGAGGCTCAGCCCCCCATCCCCTCCGTTATTTGCGCCTATGCGTTAGATACCTATTTCTGATGTTGCCTGTTATTATATATGTTTATACAATTTGATTTATACATTTTTTGTACCTATACAGTATTTCAAGAAAGCTGCGCCGTGACACAATGCTGTGAAAATCCACATGCTACGTTTTGCTTCAACGGATTGTGCGTGTGCAGACCTGGAATGGATGAAGAATGTCTGTAAGTACGATAGATAATTAATTGAGAAAGTATCGAAAATACAAAAAATAAGTATTCGAATGTGTAACGACTAACTTTGTAAAACTAGGTATATTCGATATTGTACTTCTGTGATTCTACGAAGTCTTATAAGAAATTATAATTAATCGTACCTATACATAATAAACTATATGGAAACTTACACTTAAACGCGAACAACATCTCTTAGTATCAGCACAAGTCTCAATCAGTTGATCAAAATTATACATTATTTTTATGCTAAACACATACTTTTTTTTTGATAACCTAATCAAAATTTGTTCTCAATGTTTATTAGAATATATGAAAACGCACATTATACATTCATTAAGATAAAATCTTTACTTAATGAATATAAGAAATGTATTCACTAAACTGAGATAAAAATACTTTTATGAACGTTATGTGCAGGGTGACGTAGTTGGTTTGCACATATAAATAGCTGCATTGATAGGCGATGCCATCATAATATAGGTACTTCAATACTTAAATGATTTTCCATTTTAAAAATTTTCGATATTATTCTATTGAGACAAATAACATAGCTCCTGAAAATGGAAAATCACGCTGACCCTAACTCGACCCAGTCCACCTATCGGATACGCTTCACAAGTGTTTCACGACAACGACACGTCGTAGTCGGTTGATCTTACCTGCACAGTTTACATTTAATTAATACAGTTCGATGATTTACAGAGGCAGGTACACTCCGACGTTGGGCATTCAGTTGGCCAACACTCTCTCAGTGTCGTTCGCATTCGTCTTCCTTGCCATCACATTCGTCGCGGTCATTAGAAAAACGTTATTCAGGTAAAGTACCACGTTTAGTATATATTGTCTTTATATAAATGTGTTAATATATAACTATACAAGTATTCATAACATTATCTCGTCGGTTAGGTTAGGACCCCTGGCCGAGACCTAAAAAAACACCCTATTTAACATAAACGCATTTTTACAGGTGTAGTTTTTGCAGATGCGATTCTATGAGCAGAGTGTCTAGCGACAGTTCGTTGAACGAGTTCATTAAGCAAAAAATGCAAAACAGACCGCCGTGTTACGAAGATATTGAAAAAGATCGTAAAGTTCCTATTGCTGACTGCAGTACAAGTGTATGCACTAATTACCATCAGGTACGATTTAATACATCATACGTATTTAAAATATAATTATACTAAGTGCTTCTATCTTCTCCATAATGGTGTGATTACGGTACGATCACGTAACTAGACAAAGGATTTTTCCACCTTTACATTTTCCGATAAATCATTTAGCTCTTGGGATTTAAAAACGCATTCCTTAAATTATTATTTCAAACCGCATCGATATATTATACACCCTTACAACTCTCCTTTATCGCGGCTGTAAGTTATATGCACGTTAACGAATACCGACGTTTATTATACATTATATTTATGTTCAAATATACTTATAATGCAAGGCTGGAGTGCTGGACATTAACTGATTAACTGGTCACTTTTTGATTTCTATAAATTTCTGTTAATTAATAACTACAAAGTTAACTGTATTTTAATTGATGTGAAATCAATAACAAATCAAATTTTCGTTTTATGAAGTTAATAATTTATATTGTTGTTAATGTCATTTCATTTTATAACATTTTAATCGATTTCGTTTAAACGTCAAAAAATATTTCGGCCAATGTAAAAATTAGTGGAAATTGTTTTTTTTTTTTTTCTTAACGATGAAAAACTTCAATTAAATACTAGCTGCCTATACTGTTATTACTGAAATATTGTTGATAAAACCACTCAATAATTTTGAGCTCACGGTTTTTTCACTCCGATAAAGCTCCGCCACGCTCACAAACAATTTGTCTTAACGCTCTTTTTTTCTGTTGCTCAGTTTATTGTTATTATCACTATATGATTTTTATGTATTTTTCGTGTGTGACAGCCACCGCCCGAATACGGCGCTATTCATTTCGGCCGGTCCGGCACGGTCCTGCACGGATCATTGAATACGTCCCTGTCGATCAGCGACGAAGTGGAAATGAACACGGCTCCGCCTAACTATTCGACGTTCACGACCGTCACTGAAATCGTGTCGACGACCGCGGAAACGTCAACCGCTCGGACCAACAACGAAATCATTCTCACCCAACCGATCTACACGAATCGCGAGTTTTTGCGACTCGCGTAGACTTCCGCCATGACATCCGCACGACCATATACATATTATAATATACAACATGTTCACGAGATATTATTATGTTATATTGTTTTTGTGCTGTACAACTTTTTAGACGACCAGTCTCGCGATCTCTCGTTAATTACTACAGATCACGGCGTATTACGTATGTACACGGCGACTGGCTATACGAGTACGATAACACGATATTCCGTCCAACGTATATAGGTACCTATCTATGTATAATATTATGCGACATCGTGATAAAATTATTTATGGTCTCTCCTCGTGTTGTACGTTACCTGCAGCCAATCTGCGTATTTATACCATAACAATATAAATAATAGACGAACATCAACAAAACGACCGGCGACTGACTCTTCATCGACTCCTTATAGTATACTCGTACATGGGTATATGGTCGTGCGTGTTCGAAACAATTTTAATTATATTGCATTATGTTATTATGTTTTTTTCTTCTCCTTCTCTTTTTCGTTGTTCAGTATTTGTACCTGTTTGTATTTTGTTAATTTTGCACGATTTAATTATAGGTAATATTATTGTATACGTATACGCATCGTATACATTGTACTTTTATATATATTTTCATTATCATCAGTGATATTTAATGTGATATTATAGTAATAATAAGTTATTATTATACCTAAATAGACTAAATAGATTAATACGTGAGTATTGAGTAATATGCAAACCATAGCCTATTATATTATTTTACGTACGCACGCTACCTACGACTGATGATATTGTAAGTGAACGTTAAATTCGTGTTGTTTTTAACGTCATCCGTTAAAAATAGTTGTGCGTGTATAATTATGTACTTATATATATATATATGTTTTGCTAATAATAAATAACGAATACATTTATTATTTATAAACATTTATGTAATTATTACCTTTTCTGTAGATATCGTGCTTCTTTACTTCTTTTATCTAATATAAAATATATTTTTATATTATAAACCAAACATTTTTTTTTTTTTTTAAGTGATACTTATGTACTGATGTAATACTATGTCAAATGGATGGTAAAGTGCTATTACATATTTTATAAGGCATGGTTTCGTTTCTGCAGCCGGGGATATCTCGAGTGCATCTGATTTTTAATTTTTACTTTTTTCATAGCCCAAGTGCAGTCTTTAGTCCACATACAAAAAAATTTTATACATGTAAGACAATATAAATAAATTTTAAAATAATAAAATATCAAGTCTAGATTTCGTCAAAAGAATGGCATTTAAACATAATATATAAATATTATAGTAAAAATAAATAAATTAAATTTTTCTTTAATAAAAAAAAAAAAACCATTTAAAATAATTAGTACACTCGCCCAAATTCAAGGGTGTAAGCTAAAATAGAAAATATTATAATGAATAAAAATTAAAAAATATTTTTGAGGTGTAAACTAAGTAAACTAGTTCACTTTTTTGAGGTATACCAGGGATAACTCTAAATTAACTAGGACACTAGGGACTAGAGCTATATAAAAAATATGACCTTTTTTTCTGGAACGCACTCGGGAAACTTCCCAGTAATATACTTGTGAGTAAACTGTAAGCTGCAAACAACCCTTGATGCAACAGACGTGAAAAAAATCAAAATGCCGCCAAACATTATTCGTTAAATAATAACCTAACTAACAATATTAGTATAATATTTATAACATAATAAAATGATAAATGCAAATTAAAAACATGTCGCCAAGGCGCCAAACAATACATTTTAAAGATGGGGAACCAAACGCAAATGTATATTGGTTATTATTTAAATAAATATCTCAATATAGATACTTGGACGGTTCCGAGTGGAAGAATGTCGCGTATACGTTTAATCAGTGTGTGACAACCACGGTTGGAAAGTGTTTTAAATAAATAGTTTAGTTTAAAGTATTTTAAACATACATTTTTTAATCGACGTTTAAAATAATTTATTGATATTTATCTATAATACGTAATAAATAATACGTAAGTCCTACGAAATCACTTTTAGACGTCATATGTACCTAGTTATTAACAATAGGAAAATATAAATTCGAAACATTTGAAGTCGAATAGATTTCAAGTGTAGAGTGTTTTTTAGTTGCATTTTATTTTACAGTAGACATACCTAGTACCTATTGATATTTGGGATTTGGTTTGTCGTCGAGCATATCAAAACCACTTGGATTGAAAAGACTTAATGTTTACATAGTGTCATATTGATAAAATACAACTATCTACGATGTTTAGGGGAAAACACAACATATAATATAATATCACACCTATCGGCTATCACACACGAATCCATTATTTAAAAACAATATATATTAAAAATATAAAAAAAAATGTTGTGCTATAAATTAAGCCAAGTATATAGAATTAAAAAAAAATAATAATAAATAAATAAACAAAAAAACGTTACGTGATACTTGATATTTTGAATTTTCTCTATTGTGCGGAAAATCATATTAGAATTATTAGATTATAACATTTAAATTTTGATTAAAAAAAAAATTAACAACGACGTTGTTATGGCTGGCAATTTAATTATATTAATCTCATCAGTTGCTAGGGGCAAACTAAGTACTAAAACGCTAAATTATAAATTTATAACATTAATTTTATCTTATTATATGGTTACCATGGAAACTGTAATGGTTAAAAAAATAATGCTGTATCCTACCCCCCAAAAAAATAAATATATTTAATCGTAAAATACTAAGGTTTCAGATTTCTGGCTTATACGTCTAAGAGTCTAAAACTAGTACATACCCTTACGATATACGAGGACGGTGCATAGTAATTGAATCTCTGACCTGACTAGATTTTAAAATAATACATTTTGGGCATAAACTTCCATTGGTTTCGACAAGATAATCTTACGGAAAATCGAATTCTGTATAGGTATATACCGGTGGTACCGTTTACCAATGCAACTATCTATATGTTATGCGTGCGAACTATACAACTAAGTCACTCTGTAGTTCTGTACATAATGTTCATAAAAGTATGTTTATCTCAGTATATTAAATACATTTCTTAGGTTCATTAAGCAAAAACTTTATCTTGATAAATGTATAATGTGCGTTTTCATATATTCTAATAAACATTGAGAACAAATCTTAATTAGGTTATCAAAAAAAAAAGTATGTGTTTAGCATAAAAATAATGTGCAACTTTGATCAACTGATTGAGATTTGTGCTGATACGGAGAGATGTTGTTCGTGTTTAAGTGTAAGTTTCTATAATAATTTATTATGTATACGATTAATTCTAATTTTTCATAAGACTTCGTAGAATTACTGCAGGAGTGCAATATTGAATATAACTAGTTTTACGAAGTTAGTCGTTACACATTCGAATACTTATTTTTTGTATTTTCGATACTTTGTCGATTAATTATCTAACGTACTCACAGACATTCTTCATCCATTCCAGGTCTGCACACGCACAATCCGTTGAAGCGAAACGTAGCATGTGGATTTTCACAGCATTGTGTCACAGTGAAACGTTCTTAAAACACTATACCTATAGCCTATAATATAAAAAAACTAGCTGATCCGGCAAACGTAGTTCTGCGATTCTACCATAAGAATTATTTCTGTGATAAACTTGGTCTTTGATTTTGAATGTTGAATTAAATTGTTGACCGCTTGGAGCATAATTTTTAATTATTTCCGTTTTTTCGAACGGTGTCATTTGAAAATATGAATTTAATGTTCGAATTGACTTCAGGAACAGGTTAGACTCTGGATTTGTACCGATAAGTAAACTGTTCAATGGTTCAGGCGGTGTTTCAATTTCCGGTAGTTGAACTTTTCCTGAGGCGCAACACATACCGGCTCGTTCGTTTTTGAATTTTAGCGCATTACAATGCGGACATTCCTTGTCCATAGCACCACCAATTTGTCAAAAAACAAATAAATAATACAAGATTATTCAAACCTAGTTTCAAAATATCGAGCGGTATAAGATCATCGTTTTATTGGATTATATTTTTTTCTTCGATAGCCTAAAATACATTCTTATACTGATAATTTTTACGTTGCCGTTATAATGGGTACCTACCTATTAATATACATCACAAGCGTGTGTAACTTAAAGTAGGCAAACCCTGTCAACTGACAACAACTTATTAACTACCTAGGTATATCAATAACAAATTTAAATAATTTTTTTCATTTTAAAATAAAACTACTAATACAAGTTATGTACTACTATTACCTAAATTATAACGCTTTATTAATAGTCCAAACTCTATAGTTGGTTTAAAATCAATCTTTTTAATAAAACTAAAAAATAGTTGATTAATTAGGTATATCAGGAAATATTTTAAATAAACCATAATTGTTAGGATCATGAGGTTTTATGATTTTTGTTAGGTATACGAGTATACAAAATATGCCTATTTATTTTCAGGAAGTTCTTGGCTTACCACTAAACGTAAAACATTTTTTTCCCTAATATTTATAGATACCCATGTGGCAACTATTATACCTATACAAATATGACAACAATTTACAAGATAATTTATCTTTAAAAATATAATGATAATTATTACCTATTGAAAATGGAAATCGATATTTAGTGTTAACTAAAATACTTCATTTATACCAATATGATAATCGACAATAGTTTAAAAAAAAAAAAAACAATTGTTTTTATTACTTCAATAAAAAAATTAATATACTCATGTTTAAATTTGAATATACGAAGAAAACAGTTGACTGCAGATAATACTTTTATAATATAGGTAGATATTTTATGGAATTGATTTTTTATTAAACCTCTTACAAAACAAATACCAAATTTCATAAAATCGACAGTTGAATTATTGTATGACATTTGTACAGCGATAATGACATGTTTTGAGTACGGTAAATAGGTATCACGTTAATGTCAAGTTTATGCTGTGTAAACAATTGGTAACCGACGTCATCGTTTAGTTGATAAATCACGCTGCATGGAATTAACAAGAGCCAAGGTAAGTACAATATAGCGTAGATCAAAGAGGGTTTACTAGAACAAAATTGTTCAATTGTATATTACTGATAATTGATATTTATTATTAGACGATGATTATTATTTTATGTTATACCTCAGCTCAGTCGGCCAGAAACAATAATACTTTATTCATTATTTTGCACTATTGCACTATACTATATTCATCTGTATACGATGATTCGTCAAGTGCGCTCACCTCAAATAATTATTATATCAATAATACATTTATTTAAATTCTTGAGATTTTTTTTTTTTGTATGTTTTACAAATGATACGAATTTCTGTTTTTAAAATGAGAAGTCTACTTTTTTTTTTACTGTAAATTGTTTAGCAGACAATAATATTAATATAGTCTTTCTGCATGTATCAGAAAATTCTAAAAATCAGACATTGAACAATCGCTTTATCGAAGAAAAAAAGCGGTCGATTATTAGTTCATCACAGTCGCTGAATCGCTCTGTAAATCGTGCTAATATTATCATCATCATTATCGCGAATTTCATTCAGTGATGAAAAAACGTTTTATTATAATAGAGCAATATAATATAATATGTGGGTGTGTGTTTTATTTGCCGCGAGCACAGTGTAGGTACCTACCTGTAATGTATCTATTTTATGAGTCTTACTGACCTAAGATTAAGGAAAAAAAGTATATACATATAACAGTAGTCAGTAGACTTAGATAGCAACCCAGCTAGGAATGTATTAGATTATAGAATAAATAAATGAAAAGAAGGATATCGACCTAGGTACCGCGGTACATGATGATGCACCTACTAATTGGCGAGCACTCGGCTCTATTTCAAGTGTTTGACAATTAATACGTAGTAAAATGACTGTATATACAGCTTACATAACAATAATATGACGATTGTTGGTCCACGTGGTCACGTTTGTGTACGGCATAGTATGTGCGTGACTTGGCTGTTCCGCATGAAGATAAACGCAAAAATCGTAAAACTCTTAAGCCGTTAACCTGTTATATACCCATAATATCCTAAAATATTGCGAGTGTATTCTCGAGTGGGTAGATATATTATATCTAGTTATAAATATACATTAAAACGCCTAATACTTATGCCCACTCGTGCGTATTATTATAACCGTGTACAGTGCGTAGCAAATAATTCATATAATAATACAATACCTACACGTTGTCAAAACACGGGCACAGGCGTAGTTAGGGCGACGACTTGGTCTCCATTTAGGAAAATAGCCCCCCCCCCCCCCCAAAAACCCACCCCCCCCCCCCCCCCCCGCGCCGCCACCGGCCCCCCCCAGGGGGGCTACCTACCGCCCCCCCCCCCAAATTTTACCAACCTACGTCTATAGGATCTAAGACGTAATCACGCCTGCTGCTAACTGACAGCTGTAACCGCGTGAAATGCCTTTGACAACTCTGAAACGATGGACGATTTTTTCACTAATAACGCTCGACGTCGATCGGCGACCGAAACGATTTTGAATTTGAACCGCGACGTGTGCGAATCGTAAACCCGTACAAATCTTATAGGTACTATTTAACTATTATTATTCAAATCGTTTTTTCGTCGTCGTAATAATTTCATAAATCACAGTACCTAAGTACCGGTTCGGCGTACCGATCAAGTAGGTATAGAAAGTCAGTACTTAATTATTATTATCAAGATGTACCTACGTCATAAATAGAGTGAATGTGTTAATAAAGTTTTTTTTAATGCAAACACAACTCCTTACACGACTAATGGCCTGCACCCTTTTATCGTGATTTACAGAATGAAATGACAAGAACGCTTAACGTTTTATTTTAAATTTTAAAACATGTCGACATTTATTTATAAATGAGAACAATAGTCATAGTTTTATAAATATAGCAACGCAATTGTAAAATTTTACAGTTTAAAACATTTTAACAGGTGACAAGATAAGCGAAAAAACGAAAAAAGGCTCTATAACTAGTGGAAAAAAATCTATGAACTATTAAAATGATGACCCAATATAATCACAGTTCACGAAACAATATTAGTGGATTATTTATCTAACCCAGATAATGTTGACAATAATAATATATCAACTATTAATTTAAAAATATAAAATTAAAATAATATAAAAATCAATGTCAAGTCAACATAATATTATCATCATACAACAGGACGAATGTAAATTATCGTCTGCTAAAAATATCCTTTGGATACCTATGCCAACATAAATTCATACACATAAAAATTAAAAATAAACCTTCAATAATTTGTCAGTTCCTACACGAATAATAATTGAGCCGGATAGTAACTATCCGGTGGATGGATACAAATGTTCTTCTCGCTTTTTGAGTTGTACTTGGAATGGAAATTTTCACAAACATTTATAGTAAGACTTCCACGAAAATTAGCATGAACTCAAATACTGAGGGAACGTATTTTTTTTCTTCTGTGTAATTAGTTAGAACTATCACTGTAAGGCCGTAAGGGTGAATATTTTGTATAGAAACTTACATATATACAAATATATATAATCGTTTACCTCCTACGCTTCGTGTGTGAACTTATCAAACTTACCATGCAACAAGAGTGACGTGAAATAAATGTAGGAACTATAATTTGCAATAATTTGATGGAAAAAAAATATTTTTACCTGATAAATATAATATATTAAATTAATTTTTTTTTTTTATTTATTTTAGAAGATTAAAAGAATTCTACTGTATGCATAAATGACGGGAAGGAGGGGGGCACCACCTGTCCCAGAGTTCCACCTATCAATTATTATTGTTTATTCCTTCTAGTTTTGTTTACTATTTTCAAACAAACACTTAGGAGTTAGGTATACTTAGTATATTTTTTGTTAAAACAAACAAAACAAACTTTTTGAGAAGTGCTACTCGACACTATCATGCTTTCGTGATTTAAAATATACAAATATTTTAAGAAACATTATTACAACTATACTCATTTAATAAAAATTATGGATATTTTATGCCACAGCTTATGGCAAACTTTTGACACACACAATGGTTTTAACTGAACAATTTGTATAGAACAAAATGGGTAAACACAACAAATTGACAATTTTACAATTTGTGTTAATTTCAATCACTGTATTTATTAGACAAAAAAATATAATACACAATGATTGAATTAGTAGTATCAGTGGCGTATTTACGGGGGGAGATAAGGGAAATATATTTCCCCCTTGACTTTTTTTTTAGCAGTTTTTACTTTTTTAAATGATAAATAAATAAATGATTTATCATTTAATATGTTATATGATATAATTTTAAGGTTTATGTACCTACTATGTATATATATAATATATATTATGTGTGTAGTTATAATAAATTGATAGTGTATCTTCATGTATTTTGAGTGGAGGGAGAAAAAATATTTCAGTCATATCTCCCCATTCAAATAAATCTTAAATACACCACTGAGTAGTATTATAACATGTTTTAAAACAGTCACAATTGTTTTAAATATGTTACAACAAAATCACATGTACAATATACATTTAATCTTTGAAAGTTAAAATTTTTTTTTTATGTTACATTTAATTATTATTATCTATTTCTAATGAGTACCTAATGAAACAGAGGAAACTCTATAATATGAATATTTACGTTTACATTCAAAAGTTATTGAGTTTACACAACTGACTAGATTGTAAATGACTTAGACTTATAAGATTTAACACATAGAATACAATGTCCATAACAAATCATTACATTTAAACAAAATTAAAAAATAAATATTATCAAACAAATAGTTACAAAAAAAAATAAAATTATAAACAGAATCAAAAATGATTAATCAAAAACATGAATCAGTCTTTAAAAAACACGAAATGACACTGATATAAGATAAATAAAATGCAAAAAATACATAAAAATGGTCTAACACAATTCATTGATACATATATTTTCCTACATTAAATGATTCATAGCCAAAACTGGTAATTTTTTGGCATACAAATGGTTATAAATGGAGATTCATTTAACTGTGAACACTATTTCAATCAATAATTGTATTTTTCAAAACCTCTAAAATTGTAATTTAATATTATAGTTGGGAAATCGCATAATTATATTAAAAATAATTGAAAAGAATTTTATTTTTTAATTCAAAACTGTTTTATTAATTAAAATCTTTTTATTACATCTGGGTATTTTCATAAAACTCTGAATAACAAACATTTTAAATAAATTATCTAAAAAATGAAAGCTAAATTGTTCTCAATTATTTTTAAAGAGGTATGATACCTTAACTTTATTTATATGGACATTATTGAATGAAAATACAAAAAGCTGTTTTCTTTGTATTCCTAATATATTAACTGATCTGCGTAAAACAAACCTTACTTTAATGTTGTATTTTCTAAAATTAAATTAATGTTGGAACTTTTTTAATATCATACAATGCATTATAATTGTACCCACATGCTGTTTGACTAAGAATCTAGTTGAAGTTTATTTAAGTGCTCTACAAAATGAATCGACTAAATTATATCAGTAATTTAAATATATAGTATAATGAATATTCCGGTTCCATTATAGATACAATATTCCACAGTGTAAGTGTTGAACAAACAAAATATAAATAAATGTATACAAAATTGTTAAAAGTAAATTGGTATGTTTTAACCATGATAAGAACAGCTCAATTTAAAAATTCTAAGTGCTATCAAAAAATGCTTTAAAAAAATAACCAATATTGCTTTTTAAAAACGATCTACATTTTTTTTTATAGGCACACAAGCAAGAGAAAATTTTGGCATTTGTAACACTTTTTTTATTTTAAATAAAATTATTATTTAACATTAATGCAAAAACCAAACATTGAATTTTAGGCATGCATAATAAATAAACAATATACTCAAAATTAATGAGACCATGATGTAGCTCTTATTGACTATTTAGTTGTTATTTGTTTGAATAAAACACAAAAATTGACAAAAATTATGTTCACTGTTAAATAAAAGAATCAACTGAGAGGTATATGCACCAATATCATACAATGATAAACTAATAGTAATAAATCATTGTTTAATATTGTCAGATATTAATCGGCTCTTTAACCCACATTGAACCAGTTAAGTGTGCTATAACATATCAACACACCTTAATTAGTCTATCCCAATCAACTGTACATATATTATATACTTACTTACAATTAGTCATTTACTCCACCTTTTTTTGTGGTGTCTTATCATTAGAACCGCTTACTTGGTTATCAATCAGGTCTTGTACTCCTATCCAAGAACTAAAACACTGGTGCAGAGTGATGACTACAAAAACCAATGTTAAAATTGGAGCTATTCGAAATAATGCAGTTTGACAGAACAAAAACAAAATTATTGAAGCTGCTATACAAAGATTGCTTAATTGTGCATAGAATTTCCTAAAACGCAAACATAAAATATATTTTACACAATACAATAATTTTTTTTTTAAATGATTACTCACAAATTACGTTTGGGGATATCCATCTGCCATATAATACCTGCACAGGTATTTAATATCAATGAGGAAATCAATGATGGATCTGGATCTAAGTATTTGCTATGACTGTGAAAATTTAAAAAAATTATTTCAAGTTTTAATGTTAACAAAATGTAAAAAATTACTGGTAATTTCGTGCCCATTCAATGCTGCACGGCAGATGACAACCACAAATTAGTAACCACAGTAAAAATAGTGAAAAATGCAGATGAATAGATGTCAGTGACAAATTCAAACTAGGTTTTTCACCTTTCATAAAATACTCTTTAAAATATATTATTGGGTAATAAATCAATTGGTCAACGCAGTCTTGAACCATTGTGCAAAGCTATAACATTAAGCATTTAAATAAAATTAAGTAATTTCTTATATATTTTACTATTTTAGAGTGAAACATTATACTTTGAAGCACTGATTAAAATTAATAAAGAAAAGTTAATGGACTGGATATTGATGATGGAAAAATTATGTTGATATTAGCAAACTCAACAATATAATAATATTAAAATTTAAATAAAAGATAGCTACGAGTATAAACTTAATTAGTACAATTAACTTACTATGAAATAATAGAAAAATGCTGAAATAACAAGTCCTACAGTACCACATGTATTGTAAGAAATTAAAATGGCTATCATTGAAACAGCTATTGGTAATTTTCCAAATCCATACAGTATCCAGTCAGATATTGTAGCATTTTTTCTTAAAGTTTTCATTATAAACCTGTTAAAACATTAACACATAAATATTTAGATATGTAAAAAAAAACACTTTAATTTATGTCTAGTATTTACCCGACTAATAGTTCGTTTATGGCTTTTCCCCAAAACAACATCATCATCCACAGTGCTATAGTAGCAAAATACATGAATGAATTGGTTATGCAATAAAGCAATGATGAAAATATCATTGTCTTTAATGGATGCCCAAGCCAGTCTATGCCACCAATTGGTTTATTGATGTTAGGCCACTGGTTTTGCCTAGAAAAAAAAGTACTATTATAACCCTCAAGTATACCTAATCATTAAAATTTATCAATTAATGATCTTACATAACAGTCAAAAAACAAATTGTAATAGCTAAAGTTTTAAAAACGCTGATCATAGATGGCAAGGAGTTGTGATATATTGAGCAATCGTCTTTAGTCGAATTGGCCAATTGTGAAAATTGATTTGACAATACTAACAGTATTATGATCCCAATGTATGATGGAAAAGTCAAGCCATATTTTAATCCTATTGTTCCAATTGTATCCATAATAGATAGATCTAATCTAAAAGTCAACATTTTTTTTTTTATTATAACAGCACATAATTGGCTATAAACACTTACTCAATACGATAGTTGCATTTTGGATCTAATATGAACTGCAGATACGGATCTTTTGTTGTATTTGACAGAGGAATATTTTCTAAAGATATTCTCAATGGTTCCACATAACTGTCACTGAAATTAGAAGTAAAATCATTAAAGTCACACAGAAAAATTTAAAAAGAAATTGTCTATAGTGAGAAATAGCTTACCTAGTGATGCCATGCAAAACACCTTGTGTCCACGGTACAACAAATTTAGAAACAGCATGATGATTTTTTTTTGAGCATTTGGTGGGTATCATGTGCACATTATACACACAATGCATACATATACTATCTGACCAATTTCGCAGAATAGTTTTGTATTGTAATGTCTCAAAAACATTAACATTCCACAGTAGATATTTATTAAAAACTCCGTACCAAAATCGCCATAAAATTTGATTAATTCTATCACTAGCTTTATACAAGTCAATATTCAATGCTGTCTAAAATAAAGCATTATTCATTTATTATATGATTTTTATTACAGTTTAGAAAACTTACTGGTTTTTTAGTATTTTTTATTTTAAAAACCAAATTTGAATGACCCAATTTATAAACATCAGACAACTTTAAAGTAATATGTCTTCTTTTCATATATTTTGAAACCGATATAGTACTATTAGAAGACCAGTTTGTACCAAATAAACTAAAATAATACAATAATTGGAATTTTTAATGAACATTATGGAAACAATTTATTTTATTTTATACCAGTGTTTTTTTGAATTATAATCGGGTTTACAAGAAAATACCCAATCATGGTATTCAATATTTACAGCTTCAGCAGTCATTTCATAATTAAATGATTTTTCAAACAATGGCAGATGTATAACAATTGGCATGACCGTCCCTTTTTCCAATGAAATTGATCTTTGAAGCTTATATGTTTCATTCCATTCAATCACATTAGGTTCATTTAATTTCACAGAAATAGGATGTAAATTAGAATGAAACCATTTTCCATTACTTCTCTGTTATTTAATAAACATAATTAGTAAAAATCATTTAGCCACAAATGATCAGTGAGAATTGTAAATCAAATAGATCTATTATAAGGTCAGTTTTCATAACAGTTATTGTTCTTTTACATACTCTGTCAAAATGATAAGATGAAACTTTTTTTCTCCATTCATGAATTGTATCATCAGAGTCAGATTCTGCGGAGTCGAATAGTACTCTTACAATGGATTTTACCAATGATTTACACCACAATATACATTGATGGTCAGTAGAAGTCCAGACTCCAGGTATAGCTAAACTCTAAAGATCGATTGGATGTTTGAATTCAATAATCTTCTTAAGCCCGATTAAATAATTTATGTAAAATAGAAAACTTACTAATGCATTTATGTCTGCATGTGGAGTATAAGTCAAGCAAGGCCAAACCATTAAGTCTCGATGACCACCACCAATGGATAATAGTGAAATGTTTGACAAAAATGAAGATCTTGGTTTGTCTAATCCATTTCCCCAAATTTTTTCCACTCGGTCGTAATAGCTATCCATATAGTGATCGGCTAAAAACAAAGGTCTATGGGGAGTCGCCAAAGTAATGATAAGCTCTACGAGATTGGTATCAAACAAAGGGTCAATAAACAGACCTTTGGCTATAATACCACCCTGGAAATAAAAGAAAATTTTAATAATATAAGATACAAGAACATGCATTTTATAAACTTATTTAATTACTAATGACAGTTTTTTTTTTACTTAGAAAGGCTAAATAGTTAAATCAATCAACTATATTTATACATGTAGTAAAACTGTTTGCTATATTTATTTTTACATTATGACTAAGTGATTAATTAAACTTATCCTAAAATAAATTAATAATTATGCTTTTTCATAAGGTTTTTTCATTATTTTAATTGTGTAATGTAGTGTATACATTATAATAGCTTTTAAAATTATGATACTTGTTTATTATTGTTATGGTATTAGGTACCACCAGCTGCATTTGAGATAAATTTTAAATATCATAACAACATAATAACTTTCAAATAAAAATAAATAATAACATATTATTTATTGATTATAATGCAGTGAACGACTAATAAACATAACAATACGATTATTTTCTAAAAATCCACTTCTATTAACTTTTTCTTAACCATTATAATTTATTTAATTGATATTAATATTGTTTTTGTTGTAAATATTGAATGCCAGTATTATTACAATGAACTACTTGTTAAAATAAATTCATTAAATATCTGATTATTGTAATATAGGAATAAACTTGACACTATAAATACACTACAAATAAGGATCAAAATAAAACTTTCTAAAAACTTAAAATTTATAAAAAAAAAAGTTTTTATTTTGATGTTATCAAAAATCATAAATCATAATTTATATTAAAAATATTGTCACAATTAAGAAAATATGATGAGCCATTTAGTATACCACATATATAAAAGAAAGAGAAAGAGAGAGGAGACTGATTATTCAATTATGCGTTCTTGAGACAACTAAGTTCAATTTATTTAATATATTACCATAGAATGTCCAATAAGTATAATTGACGTAGGTTTGTAGTCATATTCATATGTTTTTATGATTGTATCAATACATTGAGAAACAAATGCAGTTTGCTGTAATAGAACACCTCCAAAGACAGCAGAATATTCTTCATTCAGGTCAACAGTAAAAAAATCAAATTTTATATTTGATTGAATATGGTACATCTTTCTAATGTTAACCGAAGCAATAGACCGAACTATAATAGATAAAACGTAAATAGTCCGATAAAAATTGTTCAAAAACTATTTATAAATAGTCACATATTATTATTACCTTGTCTGTACGATCCACTGTGTCCGGGTATAAAAATGACCGGTGTACCGTAAAACTTCATAGATTTTATTTTCTCCATCGTTTGGCCTTCGGTGTAAGCATACAAATTATACTTGCCTCTGTTCATGGGCACGGAGATTTCCTGGGAAGCAGAAAATTTATTAGATTATAAATTGGTATCATAATAACGGAGTGCATGAATAATGAACCGCATTCACTCACGACAAAATGTGGATATTCGAACATGAACGTCATCTCACAATTGTTGGCCGTCTTTTGAGTCAGTGTTAATTGCTTGTAGACGCCGGCCGTGAAAATTATCAAAAGTATGGCACTCACGTAGCTCACCGGGCTAGGGATCTTCATCTTAACGATGTATTTCCAAACGTCTATCATTCCGAAACCGTTTGTGATGTGCGTGTTTTGTTCTACAGCTATTTAATGTGTTTCAAACACATAGAAACTACATTATAAACTATAACAGTTGGTAATAAATAATATTTCAAACGAATGGTGTTGACCTTAATTTGTTTAAATTGAATAATTTTATTAATTTATATAATAGGTATTTGACGGGCATTGTACATTTTGTACGTACTGCCTATGCGTTTTTAAATAATATTTATAATAGTATTATATTATGTTTATTTAACTGTTAACACACCAGCGAAGTGTGATAAGGCTGTGATAGCTGAACCGCTTGAACCATAGGATATACCTGAGCGACCAAGTCATCCATAAACGGCATAAACCTTATGCTATACTATAAGCCATAAGGTCATGGATGCCATCATGCACGAGACTTTTAAGTTTTAACAAATTTTGTGCGGCTCGCACTAAAACTAAATTGTAAATAAAATTTTAAAATTCAAAATTAATTTATAAATAAAATCATATTTTTAATAAATGTTATGTGCAATAACTTTTATTTACTTTATCTTATTATTCTTGTTTATTTTATCGTTTCTATTTTTATAATTAAATCATAGTTTTAACAGATATTAAGATTTAAGGTAGGTATGTCATATAAAGGTACTCAATACTCATATAGTCATATATATTATATGTAGGTACTAGGTACCTAACAAAACGACACGCATTTAAATATTGTTATTTAATCCGCATTGATTATTTACTTAAAAATCAAAACTAATGAATTTATCAAAAATTTATCTTGTAAATTTTCAAATAATTTTAGCTTTGTCGTGATGAAAATATTTAAAACCGTTAATTGTTTTATCAGAACCCTGAACCAGATATTTAAATTACCAACAATTTGAAAGATGTCTTTCTAAACTAAATTCTTAACAAATATATATTATGTCATAATAAAACATATGGCTAAACAACGGTAAAGTTTTAGAACTTTTTTACATCCGTAAAGAAATTCAATTATTTGTTCACGAACAAAAAGCTGAATTTCTAGAAATAAATTATTCGAATTTTAAATTTCTTGTAAATGTAACTTAAAGTTTAAATATACTTAAAAATGATCTGCAAGAAGAAAATAAACTTATTTAAATTAAAGTATAATTTCAAAGTATAACAACATTTACAACTTTCTTAAATAGATAGTAAAAAAACTAAGCAAACCTTGACGTGATGAAAAAAACATTTCATCCTGAACAACATGAACAGAATAAAATTATTTTATAATACAATATTTATAAAGATAAAAACTCTTTAAAATATCATATAAATATAGAATATTAACATATATATACATAATAAATACTATAAATTATAGATCATAGTATTTTCTATACATACTACTCATACTAGTGATTTATGGTCAGGGCACGTAACCAGGATTAAAACTTTGCATCACGTGCATTTAAAATATCCCTAATTTCAATAGATTTTTTTTTCTACATTAGGTAATCAATTTTTCACACCATAATAACTATTTAGACAAATATTTTTTACAGATACACGATATTCATAAAATACGTTTAAATTTTTAAGTTTAAACCCATTAAAATCATTTCTACCTACTCCATATTATATCTAATACTAAAATCTTATCTCGAAGACCGATATTTTACTGTCAAACATAATAATTCTTACTCTCATTATCATAAAATGAATGCAGGAGTACTCCAAGGAAGCGACCTATCACATATCTTATACTAAGTATAATATAATATTTATACATCAGATATCCTTAAAACAAATTTTACAACTCTAGCAATATATGCAGACAATACCGCTATACTAGCATCAAACACAGACCCAAACATGGCCACTCACTATATATATTAAACAATACCACTTAAATAAAATCACCAACTGGATCAAAAAAATGAAAATCAAGTTAAATGAAAATTAATCGGTTCAAATAAATATTTCTCTAGGTAAAAAGAATGTTCACAACTATTACTCAACAATGCAAGAATTCTTATTAAAAATATAACCAAATACCTAGGAGTTCACCTTAACAAACGACTTACCTAGGCCCATCATACCAAATTCAAAAGAAAACAATCTAACACACGCCTAGATCTCCTTCATCCATTACTGTTTTCCTCAATGAGTTTAAAAATTAAATATTAATTTACAAGACAATTATTACCCCTCTTTGATTATTTGGTATTCAATTCTGGGACCAAATTAAACTATCTAATATAATACCTATATAAGCCTTTAAAATTAGAAGTTCCAATCGATATGTCTTAGACAAATAACTGGAGCCTCATGGCCCATAGTATATGACCAACGACGCACTACTAAGGATCTACAAATCTTAAAAGTCAATGAATCAGCAACTCAACACTATAAAAAATTCCACTCAAAATTCCATTCAAACTAAAACCCTCTTATTTCTTTTATGTCCTCTATAACAATCCCCAGCAACCCTTCTAGGAGATTAAAAAGAAAATGGCCAATAGACGCTTTTGCCTAATAGAAAAAAAATAAAACAAAACAGTCTCTTTATATGAACCCACCAAATTAAACAGGAGGTACTGTTGATAAACGGTTTTCCCCTCTTAAGCCAACCAAGCCATCTTTATTATTACTATATTATCCAATTTACTTATAGTACTTTTCTGTAGAGATTGTAAATATGATTTTATGAATAATAATAAAAAAAAGTTTGAACACATTTTTGCTTGATCAAATTTTGGCGATAGGATTTCAATAGACAACAAAACAACATTGTCTTGCTTTAAAACAGTTTTCGATACTTGAAATAAGATTATCAACTATAATCGATACTCGATAGTATAAATATAGATACTTTTTGTAAATCTGCCGACTATATACTAAATATTATAGTAATTACATTTCCTATAGTTATAATAAGGCATTAAATAGATAACCTTGCCGACATTAAAAGGATGTTAATATCCTCCCCCCGTTAAATCGTTTCTGAATATTGGACGTATGAACTGTCTGAAACAAAATATAGTTTTTTTATAGTAGATATTTTTAAATAACACGTATTTATTTATAATTATAAAGAATTACCTACGATTTTATTTGGTGATATTGAAAAATGTCAAGTAAAGCTCCTAATTGTATTATATTCTAATAAACAAGATATAAAAATCTGAGAATAATAAAATTAAAAATATTGAGCCAAAGATAACTAAAACTTGAATAATAGATCAAAGTCTAAGAGATTCTTCCCTACATTTTTAAATGATGGAAATTGGGAAATATAAACATTTATCAAGTATAATTGTTAAATTCACGCTTTTATGTTCCTTTTGACCTCCGGAAGAGTTCTCGAGTTCGTATAATAGGCCGTAACACGTTTGGGTACAGTAAACTCTAAACGCAACACGTTTGGGTACAAATGAATACACCGTTTGGATACACCATATCTCTAGAAAGATAACACGTTTGGGTACATAGGAAATAGATATTAATATAACATATAGAAACAACTAAAAAAATAACACTTTAATAATTAATCATTAGTTTTTAATTTTTAGAACCTATTAGCGTTATCCAGGAGACACCACGAGGAGGTTGGCTCTATTTAGTCTCCCAAAAATATTTTAGTATAATATTTAATTATTTGTCATAGTTTTAAAATTATTTTTTATTATATTATATACTATTATACCATTATTATTTATTATTAACTCTTTGTATATATTACAATTATATAATGTTTTTACCGGTAAATATTGGACCAATTAGAGATAAATATTTTGCAACATCTTTATCGACTTTGTATTCTTCAAATTTGTTTAATACATATGTAATATTATCCATGTCTTCTTTTCTTTTTTTGTTTTGCACATTTCGTTTAATGTTACCTATTTTTAGGTACGATTCTTCTTGAACTTCTAATAAAATATTTATTATTGCAAAACAATTAGGATGGCAAGAATAAAATTGACTGTTAAAATCTCTATGAAAAGCTTCAGGTCCGTTTGTTATCCTAGGATCCATAGATAGCTCACCTGCCCAAAAATGAGGTGGGAATAAACTATTTTCATCTATAAACGTGTCTACAATATAATCCGTGAAATGTTCAACATTGGGTGGTGCATTGGTCATTAGAGATATAAAACCATCATTAACCTCATTAGAAGGTAAATAACTTAGACCGAAAAAACTTTGAAGCCACTGGTACACAACTGTTTTTCCAGCATAGTGCTTATTTAATTCTTTGTTATTTTTAATATGACGAAACCAGGCCTGACTTAAATGAAAACGGCAACCTATCACTTGACAATTTTCGAAAATTTCCAATACTGCGTTGTGAGCAGCTTTTTCAAAGTCTAAATGTAACATTTTCAATTGCAATTGTTGTCCGTGAAATTTAAAATATAACTCTTTTATTTTCAACCAAATATCAGTATACGATTTTTGTGTTTTAGAGTCCATAAAAACAAATATAATTGGCACATAAAAACTATTTAAATATACATGTATTGTATACATTTGAAGAAAATATTTTGGTGCATACGAAAAAGTTCCATCAGCAAAAACATGCTTTGAACTATTTAAAAGAGACATGTTAATAGCATTTGTAAAAATAGGTACACTACTTTCCGAATCCATAAAACAAAATGGTTCATTATTTGAAACGAAATCTTTTTTATTTTGAAAAATCATAGCTTTGGCTTCGAATAAAGATTTTGGTATTTTTGGAAATATTTTTCGTCTAGCTTCATACATACTTTTCCTGAATAACCTGACGTCAGAATGACTTAGGTGCTCTGATTTTGGGCAATTACGTAGTTCTTGTCGTATAAGTTTATTTGGCTTCATGTTAAGATCAGTAGTTCCTTTGCGCTTTAAAAGTGACATCACTGTTTAGTAATGGTTTCTTCAACTAATTCATCATGACTATGTTCACCATTTATTGAAATTACCGTTTTTAAATTGGCAGTTAATTTAGCAGTGACAGTACATTTACGATTCGTGCAACAAAAAACTTTAGTTGTATCTTTGTTTTCTCTAAACTCGCTAAATTTATAACTGTTAATCACAACACACTTTTTCCCACGTCGGGTTTCAAAAGCATCAGAAATATTCACGTCCATAATAACAAAGAATAAAATAATCTTGCCGATTGAAAATCCAAATCGGAACTGAACATTGAAACGTTGAAACATTTAGTTAGTTTTATAAACCATATCTTATAAAGATATCATATCTCAATAAGCCTATTTCGAAATAACCTATCGACAATTAGCGTATGTACCCAAACGTGCTATGTGTTTGTGTACCCAAACGTGTTCTACATTTACAGGTAAAAATAATGCAATGTACCCAAACGTGCTTCACCCGTATAATATATTAATATAGAGTAGAATTTGATCAAAGTACACCGTATAATAACATTTGTACATAAACTACAATATTTATGTGAAATATATAATAATTATACCTTACCTGGTTTGCAGATGTTTCATGTTTATATATTATGGTGTATAAAGAAGTTAAAAAAAAAATTAAGAACTTTAAATATGTGAATTAAAATATATCTTGTACTTACAACACTAATTTAACTCATTAAAAAGAGAGGTTCAGTTGTCGCTTGCAGGATCCGCTATAGAGTCATAGAGATTAGAGAGGTGTTACTATATGGCTGGTAGCTTTATCATAGACCTCTAGGCACGTTTCTAGTAGATTAGTTTTTTTCTTGGTGGCAGAGACCCTTACTAGGCCATCCCTTGTTTCTGGTGGCATATAAAAAGTCACATGTTTTGTGCTTCATTGTCACAAAAACGTGTCGGTGTGTCTACGTGACTTTACCATGCGAATCGACCCATTCATCAGTGATGAAGATTTATACTGAGGTCTGGGAGTAACTATTATCAGCGCGCGACAACCTGACCGTTATTTATGATTTTTAAGCTTTTATACAATAATGTGTGAGAAATGAGAATATCATTAGAATATATAATAATCAAAAAAAATATTGTAGGATAAATATAGATTTATCTAATACAACCAAAAAAATATTTATATTAATTTTATGAAAATAATATTATGATCATGAAATTCAAAGTCCAATATTACTTACTTTTCATCATTCACAGGTAATCATTTTAAATATTATGTAAATTGTACGTAAAATATAAAATTTTAAAAGTTTAATACCTACTATTATTTTGTTAAATGCGTACATATCAAAAAAATAATATTTTCGTTCTAAAGTTGTTAAGAATACATTGTTGACTTACACCATGGATAAAAGGGAATATACTATATACAGTGTTTGGACAAGTTGTTATTCGTATTCTTGTACCCCATATGAGCTAAATATTATAATGCAATTTTCATTAAGTGTCTTTTTTGAGTTTTTGTGTGTATTGACTACTGATCATAATTAAAACCATAATATTGGTTGCCGAACAAACAATGATACTAGACCCCATCAAATCATTATAAATTGTTTTACACTCTAACCTAACCTCCGGAGCCTAGGTGGAAAGGGCCAAGGGGTATCCTAGTTAAAGCTATAACATCGAAGTTGATGGTTGCGCAATTATTTTTTAACATCATTGTTCTTACTAATGAAATAAATCTGTTTCAAAAAATCGAAAAATATCCTAGGTAATTAAAGCGAAATTGTTCCATAAATAATTAATTTAATTTTTATATAAAATTAAGAAAAAATATTCAATATCATTGCATAACATCAACATTTTAATACTGATAGACTATGTATAGTTTTTAGTTAAGATAAAACCATATAGTAAAAATGAAATATACTTATCGTTAATCAAAATAAATTATTGCAAAATGTATGTACATATTTTAACTTAGAATTATTTTTAATTATTGATACACAAGGTCAGGAGTGTCAAGATTAATCTTTTAGTTAATTTCAAATATCTAAAGCTATTACTTTTAAGAACACAATTTAATATTATCATACAAACATGTGAATACTAATTAAAAATCTTCATGTTAACAGTTATTTGTAATAGTTGGAGGTTTTTCATTAAAATAAATTAATTCAAAAATCAAATAATTTTTACAATCAATCCAATTAGAATAACAAAAATTTGCGAGAACAAATAATTAGTAAGCATTTAAGTTTTAATGTATTTACTATTTAATTAGGTTAAAAATAAGTACTTAATTTTGCAATATATAATAGGTATAAATTTAAAATAATAGTAAAACAAACTAAAGATATGTAGTGAATAGCCATGTGAATAGTAATCTAACAAAATTAGTAGGTAATAATTCATATTATTATTTACCAAGGAAAATTTGGGAAAACCGCCATAAAAAGCACACTTAAAATACATCTAAATTTGTTGGAATATTCCTTTACTTTGTTGAATTTTATTTCCACTGCTAAGTGTTAAATATATTTAACTGTTATATGTGCGCTGCCAAGTATACTGCAATAACACAGCTTTTAGTAAAAAAATTGTTTAAAAAACATGAGTATTGCCAATTATTTTTTTAGTTAATAGTTCACTACATTTTAATTTTCAATTACTTAAGAAATAATAACAAATTTTTGATCGTAGTGTGCATAATATTAATTATGGTCTAATACTCAACTTTTAAACTATGAAAAAGTATTTATATGCAACTGAATTCATATTAAAATGATTTATGTAATATTATTATTTTAAAACACATACACATAAATATAAAAATTTAAATTTAAATTTTTGATATTTGTATCATCTATCTAATGTGAATATATTAACAAATATAATTTCAATTATTGCTGTTATCACACAATACAGGGTTTTATTAAAATTGCATTCAAATTTATTGAACCTTAATTAATATTGTTATTTAAATCATATTATTATTAATTTCAGACACTCAAGTATTATACATTAAAACATTATAGAAACACATTTTATTGCTTTGTAAATACATGCTATGATATATATGTTTGTAAATGTGTTTATAAACATTACAATAGACAATGAATGTTAAATTTATAAATTTATTTAAATTCAAAAGCATAAAGTTTATAATATAGTAATAAACAATAAGCAAACAAAGTGGTTGAAAGTAAGGTAGGAAATTATGCTAATGTTATTAATATGATACGAATGGCTAAGATTCAAATAAAAAATTGATGAAATAGATTTAAATTTTTAAGAAAATTTGGTCAATATATCATTACAAATTATATTTTTAATTTATGCATAGGTATATTATTTAGAGTGTTTTTTTTTTTTATTATTTTAATTAATTTTTAATGTCACATACAAATTGCATGATAAAACATAAAGCAAAATATAAGAAATTTTAGTGTAACAATTATTTATTAAAATCAATATAAAAGTAACAAAAATTAGTAAAGTTATTGTAATTAATGTGGAGGAAAAATTATGTTAATTAATAATTATTGGAATTTGAACAGTGGTTTTTAACTTAAATAACATAAATTTATGATGATAAATTCTGTCCAGTACCAGTCCATTGTTCCTTAAAGCTAACATCTAAACCTAGATCTCGTAAGGCACTTTTAGCTTCAAATTCACAATTTTTATATTGACTTATAATTTTTTCAATTATACTTTCAATATTATGTGCCAAAAACTCTGAGGCTAGTTCACGGTTCCTTGAAACTATATTTCGGACAGCTGTACAAGCATGTTTCTGCAAAATAAACAAAAATCTATTGTTCTAAAGAAAATAATAATTACTATTTAATATAAACAAACATCCTATTTTAAGTTATTAAATAGAAAATAAAAGTGGATATTATAAAGACATAAACACAGATGTCAAATGGAATTTATAGATAGTCTGATTTATGATATTTGAGGCAAAACACAAAATGAAAAATGAATATCTTTCAATATACTATGTACTTTAAATAATAAAAACTATTGCAGTATTAAAGTAAAGTTAAGATACACTAAGTATTTTATGATGATTACTTTGGTTCATATTAAATTTAAATAATTTTTGTTTCTACTATAAATGTGTTTATTATTTTGTTAAACATTCTGAATAATGGTCTATGTAAATCAAAATTTATTTTAGATTTAATATTAAATTTTATATATTTTTTTATAAAATACCTGATGTTTGTCATCATTTGAATGCACTTTCATTGCCTGAACAATGAGTTCTGCAATACCTAATTGTGTCAATTCAGCGCTGTTTTGTGGAGAGCGTAATGTTAAAGCTGTCAATAATTTCATTGCATCAATACATAGTTGTTTGTTGTTCTATAAAAACAAAAATGGGTTAATTTAAAACTTTTTACTGAAGAAGTTTACTTACTATATGTCTTTGTAAGACTGATAATATGAGTGGGAAAAATCCTACTTTTCTGATATCATCTTTCACAATATCATCTCCAGCTAGTGATTTAAGAAGTTTAAATGCCTGACAATTCAATCTCTATAATTAGAATTAAGAACAGATTATATTTTGTGACATCAAATAGTCAATATATTTTAATATTATTAAATAATATAGAGTGCAGCAAAATATCTTCCCTAGTCCATTTATCCACCTCTATTTCTGATAAAGTGATAATAGATTCTGTGCTTTAAAGTTTTTTTACTAACAATATAATCAATTTCTGATCTGGAATTGCTTGTGAGAAATAAGTTTAAACTGAGTATGAAATGAGCGCAGGACAGCAGCTACAGACTTGAATATACAAACACAGGTTTTCACAGTAACACCACATTGCTTGTTTTTCCTTGTCATAGTTATGACTGAAATCTGTTGTAGCATAAGATTTTCATTCATCTGTATGAACAGACGCAGTTTTCATTATTTTATGACCATTAATAGTTGTACAATGCCATGCTGAAACTAGGGAGGAAGTTTTGCTGCACTGTATACTATCATTGGGTATAGTATGCTCAATGATAATGTGTACCATTGTGCAATGACGGTCCATGGCTAATTTAAGTCTTAACAAGCCTCCACATTCATTAAATTTACGACAAAATTCGAAACGAACAATAATAGTTGCTAAAGTAAAGAATATTTCACTAGTTACTTCTTCTAACTCAATTATTTGATCATCTAAAATAAATAAAAAATATTTTAAACTCATAATTCATTTTTAATATATAAGTTTGTAGTTAATATTTAAAAAAAAAGTTTTTAAATGATTAGACAAATAGCGGCAAATTTAGCTTGGAACATTTTTAACATAGGTAATATGTATAAACTATGTTTTCTTTTTGATTTGAACAATTACATATTTTATAATTAGCAACAATAAATACAAATTATAAATACACTTTTTTGTATTCTACCACAATAGTTATTAACAATACATTTTGGATATGCTTAAATGTTTAACTAACCATTTAATAATTGAAGTAGAGGTAGCAATAATTCACAACCAAAAAGTCGTGATCGTTCCCCAGCATTAGAGAAATCTCCACTACAATTATCTTCACGTAGTTGGGCTCTAATCAACTGGCAAGTTGCAATAATCACAGTTTCATTTGAAGAATTTGATTGTAAAATATCTTTCATAATATCGCCTATACCAATAATTCTAAGTTCCTGAAAATATATTTTCTGAATAAGAATATATTTTTTTAATATTTTATAAATTTAGATATTAATAAAAACAAAATTACATAGAAAATATTACAATATGGTTATTTTTATGTTATAATTACCTCTCTTTCATCTTCAAGTTCACTAATTGTTTTGAACCAGGATAATAGAGCTAATAACACTTTTTCGTCTTTAGTGCTCTTCAATAATTCCACCATTATGTCTAATGCTTTACCATACACAACTTGTCCTCCTGCAATAGTTATAATTTGATGTATTAAATATGTAGAAGTAACTTATAAGTTGAGATTGGTATGAGAACACAAATGAAAATTGTAACAAAATATTTCAATTTATTGATCTGTAATAACATACATTTAAGGTCATTCTGAATGTTAATATCTTAATAAATTTTACTTTCATACCTAAAAAAGTTTATTTAACTACCATAACCCTAATAAATTGTATTAAACATAAATTACCTCCAAGGAGTGAATCAAACGCCTTAATAAATTGTGCTTTTTGATCAACATCAAGTTCAGCAAGTCTTTCCAGATATCCACAGATAATATTATAAGCACCACTCAATTTAGATAAACGGCGACCATCCTGTGTTTTGCAATGTTTTTCAACAATCGAAAGATTACTCACAATCTGTTCCTTTATTGATTCATCCCATAAGGGTGTTTCATAATAAGTTTTTAATTTTAAAAGTGCTGATGACAGTGGGTCTGTGGCCTTTTCTATGTCGATTTTTATTCCGGTCATGTCCATTCCCTAAAACAATTTTGTTACAATAAAATAATAACATTTCTAACCAATGAATCATAAATGAAACTCACCAATTGCTGAAACTGACTGATTGTATCTTTTAATGCCTCAGAATAACTCATATCTAATAAATCCATGGTGTCGTTCACAGCCTCATCGAATGTTTTCTGATCCATTGTCATTTCCGTTGTAAATAAATCAAAAATGGTGTATAATATCGTTTGTATGTTTATTATTGCGGAATATAAAAATTAAAATATTATTTTAATGTTTTAACGTACAAAACATTAAATTTAAAATACCAATATCCATAGATCAGTCACACGAATGTCATGAATAAATTAGCGGATTGTTATCTTTTATCATACAGTTGATAACAATTTGATAACAACTATGAAACAAGACCATATACCTTATAGGGTCTATGGACAAGATAAATAAAAATAAGTTTCCGTCATAGATTTTAGATGATACTTTTCATTATTATGGATTTATATTTACAAAAAAAAAAAATAGATATAGGTATTAGGTAGGTATATAAATATTAGGTACTAACATTGTTTATGAATAAGAGTATTATTAATATTTAAAATCAATCGTTGTACGAAGCTTAGTTTTAATATGTATAAGCTTTGAAAATACTTTTTCATATGATGCACTCTTAACTGGTATTATGGAAAATACTGTTAAAATTTTCTTGTGTTGCGTATACATTTTCTCAGTAGTCAATACCATTTCGACTTATCTTACCAAAATAGTCAAAACGAAAAATCTGTGTTAGGTTTGTACCGGAATTTTTGTTACATACGAGTCTTTAAAAGTCTTGTTTCACTTTCAAATTAATTTTTATAAAGATTAAAACGGCTTGTCAATAATTCATCTTTGTTTAGATCAAATTTAACATTTTTTCAACTCTTATCAGAACAATGTATAGGTAGGTACGCTGTTTTTTAAATTATTTTGTTTTATTTTTCACAACAATAACTGTACAGGTAGGTACAGACTTCTCTGCCTTAGTGAAATATAAAATATAAATTTAATGCAGGGAATATAATAGGTATATTATGTAGTTACGCGTTTCGGTTTCAGAGTTCCTAAATTATAGTTTAAGTACGTACCTACAGAATGTAATTATATTATATCATTATACTCATTCGGGTAATTGAATAATTTGTGCTGTGTAGTACCTAAATATTATAATATTCAACTTACTGCAGTATATCTACTTATACGAGATCAGCGAATATACTTTAGGATTTTTTTTTTTTTGTTTATTGTAAACAACATTGTACATTTCCGCATTATACTGCACCGATTATGAGTGTTCGTAAAGTAGTGCTTTTATACAGTTATATATAATATATTAATTATCATTAAAATGTATAATATTATATCATTATGTATGTATGTGTGATTTACATACTTATAATACAACAAGTAGACCACTTAAATTTTATGTACTTATTATTTAAATTGGATTGTTGCTTTTTATTTTAGATTCAGCGATTTTACTGTAAATATATACAAAAAACCTAAAAGTGCATTTAGAAATTAAAAGAAAAAATTCTGTTATAAGTTTGAGCAAAATATACGTTACGATTTTCTTAGGGTATTTATTCAACATGTACCTACTTGTAGGTATATCGTTTATTATGTATCATTATTTTTTCATTCGACTGTTTATTTTTGGTATGCGATGAATGTTTAAATAATAATTATAATAATAAAGAAATTATTTCGATATATTTTCTGGATGAAAAAAATTCACTAAACCAATTTAAATACAATGAACAGACTAATCCGGCACCAGCAAGTAAGTAATCCTTTAGGCTTATATTTTGTATCCAGCAATTAGTTCCCTTTTCAAAGGCTTCGCAACCAGAATTATGACGTTTATAAAGACTGTTCGTTAATTAAAATATAATATTTTTAGTCGGGTTCAAAAACAATAATTGGATCGCGACAGTATTTTCGCAGGTTTAATAATAATTTTATATTTTTTTTCTTATTAATAAACCCATAATCTCTTAGACGCAAAATTCCATGGGAGGGTTTCGTTAATCGTTAGATTGGTCGCATTACATAATTTTCTAAAAAAATGTATTAATATGATATAGATGTGTACAAACCAATTGCAATTATTATTATAATATTATAATGAACGGTAGTAAGTTTTGAGAAAATGAGTTACCGAGTGGATGACGTGATTTAATAACAATATAATCTATTCAATACAATGTTCGATTGTTGAATAGGTACTGTTTGTCATGCTTTCGCATGCCACCTGCACCAGCTGTAAACTGATGTTCAATTGTATAAAATAAAAGTTAACAGTACCACACATTTTCGTTGGTATACAAAAGCGGCTGTCCCATAAATTATATAGAGATCAAAAGCTGTAGTAGAGCAAAGACAGTGCCACAACTACAGAGTGTGATAGGTGTGCATTGCATATGGGCCCAAAAATTTTAAATAGTCTCTCTGTCTTACATTTTATACTTTTATAGCTTACACTAAATTACCTATTGTTAATTTATTGTGTCTTTATAAATCAGAGAAAGGAATAAAAATATCCATAATAGTTGTTTACAGCAGTTGTCATATGATTTTTTCTAAGCGAAACTGCAGAAGTCCGAAGTATTTAAATGATAAAATTGTATTATCATCATGGTTATTGGTTATAGATTGTTTAATTGTTAACCATAAACTTATCTATCTATCTTTAGTGGTCAACGATAAGGCTATTTGAATGTAATCTGCATTCTTGAAATCGCGAAAGGGAGTGTAAAGGAGTCAGGAATATCTCACTTGAGCGGAGGCAAATTTTTTAATTGAATACAGACCTTTCAATAATGTTTAACGATAATCAGATAAGCTATTAGTTAATGTATTAATTAATGGTAATGTCAACAGAGAGTTTCACTAAGGAGAATTGAGTATTATTTCTTTATAAATTAAACATTTACATTTGGTAAAGTGTTCGACAGGAGAATCGTATAATAAACCAGTAGGTAATGTATACATTGTACAGGAAACTTATATAGTTAAACGAGACATTTTATTATTATTAACAGTGTGATGGTTAATGGGTTTCATATTAATTTTATTATTAGCTATTTTGCATTATTGTTGAACACTATATTGTTTCAATTGTAAAGAAGGCGTGTTCTCTCTTGGCAGTCAATGTGAATATTAAAATTTTAATAATAGACGGGTGACCTACCTGTATATTATGGTGAATAGATATAAGATGTAATGTCTGTCTTATAGGCTATTACATATATCAATTGAATTTTCTACATATTTTATTATTAGCTATTCAGCAATATTGTTAAATATTTTAAATTATTACTTAAGTATGAAGATACTACTAATAATAGTTGACATTCCAGTGCTATTAGGTCTGCTATTAACTATTAAGTATCAATTGGATATTATATTCATTCTTTGAGTTTCCATATATTTTAGAGAAAATACAATTTTCTTAAGTATAATAGTTTTGATTATAATATTTAATGGGTCTGAGTCGAATTGGGAGCAATGATAAGGTATTACATACCCTTGGTTCGATTCTAAACCAGAATAAAATATTTTTTTTTTACGTGCGTCGTAAATCTAAGTATTTGAATATATGTTATGATAGAGGGCGACGATGAAATAATAATTAAGAGTGCTCTATGGTTGGTGGCAAAATAATAATAATATTTGATAACAAAGTATAATTCTGATTATATTAGCATGTATACAATGAGCGTAAATGAATATGCAAAAGATGGACAACAAATACGTACCTACCTATAAGCCTCCCATACAATATAATATTATTTTAATATTATGTTAACGACATACCGTAGACCCAAAGAGCCCATAAAAAATGTCGTTAATCAGTTACGTTCGACTAGGACAGCTGGCACGTATTGTAAATAATAAAAGACATAATAATTATTGTACTATGATGTATCTAATCGACTGCATACTTATAATATTGGTAATTAATAATGTATTAATGCGTGTTTAGATGAAGATGCACTATACGCACTCACATATTACTATGATATTATCATAATAATATAAATTAAATTTACGAGTCACATTTCCTATATGAAATTTTCGAGACTTTTATTAATGCCGGAGTGAAAATTTACTCAAAGGTATTGTAATTATAACCAACCTCGAGTATGGTAACTTAATTATATATAAAGTGTGAAATAAAATACATATAAATTAATTTTAAAAAGCAAAAAAAAAAAAATACCAAAATATTGATCAAATAATATTTTTTATAGTAATTCTGTAACAAATTTAGTTTATAATTAAATGTTAATATAACATATTATTGTACCTATCTTCACGAATACACTTGGTAAGGTATTTTCTGAAGTTTAGGAACACTCTTGTAGTCATATCATGTGGAAAGCCACAATGACGGATTACTGGTTTGAAAAAAAATGTCTCTACTACGAATGTGTGCATTGAACCAAGACGTGATAACTGCTGAAACTTCATGGGTTTACCAGCACAAGGATCACAGGCTGATCCTTTTACACTCGACCTCCTGTAAATCCTGATCCAAATCCGTTCTTTTATTATGGTACATTTTGTATTATCCATGCGTTTATACACAGTTTTTTTTTTTCTAGATATTTTAATTAAAAAATTATAAAATTATGTACATAAATATAATATTATATATTAACTGTGATTGATGTTTGTTTGGATATTATGTTTGAAAATGCCAATTATTGAGCGATGTAGTGGTGTACGTTTCAAGAATATTATAATCGACGTGGTGTCGGATTTTATTGTCGACGTTTTTCGTTATAATTGTATTCGTTGGACGTCAACGATTTAACGAAAACGAAACGTGTTCGAATACAATAATGTATGGACCAGATAAAGTGTTGGAACTGCAAATTCGTACCTATACATACACATAATATGAACCCGAAATATTGTGCGCTCGTGAAATGTCATCCATTATTGAGTCCTATATTTTCGTACATAAAATAATATAATAAATGTTCGTTCGGTCAGCAATTGAGATTGCGTTTACACCGGTACGTGTTTTACGATGTTTAACAATAACAAAATAATCGAAAATTGTCCCGAAACGTGATTTACGCACAAATTAGATATAATTATTCGCGATGGGATGAAAAAACTGCGATCCAGGATGTACGTGATAGGCGATGAAAATATATACCTACACACTTTAATTTCCCCTTAGAATTGTGTACGACATATTTTTATTTTCAAAAATATATAATCATATTATACACACTGTTT